GCTGCAGCAGCCAATTTTTGGTTGCGTTAGCCTATCTGCAATGTCAGTATAGGATTTCGATAGATTAACACAACCAAAAATTGACTGCTGCAACCAATTAAAAATGCTATGCCATATTTTACCATCTAATTTGCTGCAGCAGCCAATCTTTTTTTTCAGTATAAGATTCTCGATTCCCTTAAGTGCCAAACACATTATTGTATAGCACAATATTATGATATTGCAGAAATATATGGAAATACACGACTATAAAAGCCTTATAGTAATAAAGAAATAAATTTAAAAAATTTTTAAATCAAATTAAAATAAAGTCAAAATAACAGAGTATGTAGGCGTCAGAATGTAGTTGTGTGTATACGTATTATGTATAGAGTTGTGTAAGGAGTAATCTAAACGAAGTATTAACAAAAGCCAAAAATTCAACAACATTAATCAAGACTAGAAGTTAACATAAAGTATCTTGACAGGGCTGGGCAAGTATTTGAAATACTTTTATTTAAAATACACTATTTGCAATACAAGCGTATTTTGTATTTTTTATTTCAGCGGATCACATAAAAGTATTACGTATTTTTGTATTTAAAATCGATTGATAGATTTTTGTACTTTGTAATTGAAATAATAAGATTGATTGTCAATGTTAGTATTTGAAATTACAAAATACAAAATATTTTCAAACCTTTTGTTATTAATATCTAAATACAAAATACAAAATATTTTCATGTACTCTGAACAAACACAAAATACAAAATATATTTGTCTTACCAATACTGTTTTTTCAAATAAAAGTATTCCAAATACATGCCCAGCCCTGAGTATCCATATAGGGTTTTACAATCGGCCCGAGTACTGGGCTAGTACTGATTACTATATGTATAGTTCAAACATTGGCGCAGTAAACATTAGCAAACTACTGGTCCAATACTAAATACTGGATGATAACTTGGACTCAGTACTGGCAGATGGTACTGGCCCAGTCATTTTAGCCAGTTTGTCAATGATGGCCTAATACTGGCTGACAGAACTTTGACCGTCAGTTTTTAGTTGTAACTGTTGGCGACTCAATAAGTGTGTTCGGGGAGATGCTATTAGCGCTATTTGTATCATTCTATCTTTGTTTTACGTCTAATAAACAACGAAGGTAGAATGACAGAAGTAGCGCTAATAGCGTCTCCCCGAACGCATAAATGAGTAATTATAAAATTTGTTATTAAAGGTATTTAGAGACTCAAAATCTCAAATCTCAGGAGGAACAAAATTTTATAATTCAGTCGCATAATATTTAAATGAAAGAGAAAGGGGGGAGGGATCGTCAGGAACTATCACGTTAAATAAATAGCGCCGAGACACTAGCGTGTCTCCAGATATATATATATATATATCAGATATATCTTTTATGGCCGATATTCATAAAGTCCGTTCTTATTTTAAAATTGTTTTAAGTAATGTCTTAAAATGCAAATATGGCTCTGTGATTGGCTTATGACATCTCAAGACTATACTTAAAACCGTTTTAAATATAAGAACTGACTATGAATACCGGTTTATATCTGCGTAACTATAAAAAAACGCACATTAAAGATATATACAGCGTATTATTTTGCAGGAGGATTCAGGATCGTGGTACTAGTCCTCTTTTTACGAGGAGTATTATTAGCCCTCTAAACAGAAAGCTAGTAAAACATCCTCGTAAAAAATTAATATATGCTTCGGAAACAAATTAAGGAAGATCATATTTTGGCTCTTACGCTACTAGATGGGTGGAGAGTGGAAGAGTGAGAGAGAGAGAGAGAGAGAGAGAAAATGTGATTTCAAGTACTATTAACATATCGATCAATATTCTCAAATGTATTTTTCCTGTTGATTATATCTTATTACGTTCAAAATAAGATATAAGATATACACTGTTAAATTGATAATATCAATTAAATTACTCAAAGTTTGAGTTATTTTTTAATCATTTCTGTAGGTCGTTTCTACTCAATATGTCGTTAATTTAATTAAAACAATAAAGTTAAAGAATTTAATTTAAGAAAACGTATTGAATTTGAATCACAAATTTACTTTAATATGAACGTTGTTTACTTTGAAACTAATTATAGAAAAAAAGAAACAAAAACCTAATCACAAAAGTGAATTGATTTACATTTTGCATAGAATTTAAAAATAACAAAATATTATTTAACTCAAGAGATAGGGCTGTTACCTCCTTTGATATCTAACTGTGTTCTAGTACCCCAATTCCGTAACTTTTAACTCTTAACAATACTCGATGCCGTTGTATTGTCGAAGTTATGTGTGGTAAAAAAGACAATTGCGCAATGACAATGTAACGATACTGAACTGTCGTTAAGAGTTACAGAATTAGGGTACTGGAACACAGTATTATCATAGATTCTTATGTGGAAAATACATTATTCAATGTTATACTTTGTTTTCTTATCACGTTCAAAATAAACTCGTATACGTGCAACAAAAACATATTTAAAATGTTCTCTTTTTTTTTTCGAATATTTGTGTAAATTTCGAATTGTATATTTATTAGATATAATATGTAAAAGATATATTTATTATATTATATATATAGTATATTATATTAATTATACATAATAATAAGTATATATATCTAATATAATATATTATATTAACAATATAATATTATATTATATATCGTATTATACGTATATTTATAAAAACATGTTTATGTTATACTATTTACGCATAAATTGAATTGTTAATAATAATATCTTATTTGTTGACTGAATCAATGATCTTGTTGTACAATTCTTGCACTTTGAAGGATTTATCTCAAAAAGTTTAATAAACGACATTCTCTCCCTCCCTCCCGCCCTTTCTCTCTCACTCGTTCTTTTACAATATAAATGAAACGACAATTGTCAATCGTCAATCACGATCGTTATTATATACACGCCGCCATATTGCTTTAAAATTCCGTGACGCAACGTTTAAAAGGGAGAGAGAGAGAGAGAGAGAGAGAGAGAGAGAGAGAGAAGGGATGAGACAGAACAAATGAGGAAAAAAAAACATTTCAAAATACGTGAGCAACTTAAAAAGTTTCTTAAGTCACACAGAAATAGCGCGCGTTTTGCAGAGTTTCAGCCATCGTACTTTTTGGACGGCTTGAAGAAATTGGAGCACCGCTGGACAAAGTATATTGAATTAAAGGGAGATTATATTGAAAAATAAAATGAAACTTTTCCGAAAAAATGTTGTTTACTTTCCGAAACTTAAGAAACTTTTCAAGTTGCCCACGTATATACCATTTTAAAAAATATTCCATTTTAACAGCGTTCGAGGTCAGATGACAGACCGATCCGATTTCCAAGGTGTGATTCGCGTCATTGAATCCGTCCCTCACCGCCAAACCGATTTTTCTCCGTTATATCTGCAATTAATCGAACGCGCTCGCGTAGTTCTGCGTCGTGAAGTTGTGCACCGCGGTGCAGTGTTTTCAACCGCACCGATCTCGCGCATGCGCAGCGCGACGCGACACGCAGATGCGCATTCAAGATACGTTTTATGCTCCTCCGATCGTGTATTATGAAATAAGATGAAAAAATGAACAAATTTACTAAAATATTCATAATTTTATTGAATAACACCTAGTGAATTTATTCATTTTTGTAATTCTCATCTCATTTCAAGATACAATCGATCCTCGGACTTATTAGGGATCGATTATGTATTTTAAAATGATGTGAAAATTACAAAAGTGAACAAATTCACTGGAATATTTATAATTTTATTAATCAACATCTAATAAAGGAAGGTACAACTTTCACTTTTTAATGATAATTCGGCGACCGTTTTATTTCTACGTTTTTTCCTTGTATATCCCCTATACAGCACATAGTTGCACAAAAGTTGCAACAACACTGCTGCAACATTGCAGCAACATTGCATGCAAAATGATGCTATACTCAAAGAAAAATTTATTTCTGAAAAAAATTTTTTTCATGAAGAAAAATACATAAGAAAATGTAGAGAGATAAAACAATCTCTGAATAGTCGCTAAAAAAAGTTGTATAAATTCTCATTAGATTTTGATTATAAATATTTTGTGAATATTTTATGCTAATAGTTATGAATATATATTATTTTAATTATAAATTTATTATAAATAATATAAAAAAATTCAAATATGTGAGAATTAATTAAGGACTCCTTTACTTAATAAATAAAACAATAAAGTACAATAATTATTTATTATAATATTTAATCATAAATATGTTTATAAATTTGTTTACTTTTGTAACTTTCACCTCGTGTCAAGATAACACAATCAACCGCCAGGTCTAAAATTCGAAATCGCCAACGGCGGGGAAGCGAAGGGGCCGCGGGAACCCGCTGTCATTCGAACTAGATACACCACTGAGTGACGCGCTCGCCGCGCATGCGCGAAGACTCGCGGCCGCCGTAAGCAGCCGTAAGTAATGACGCCGTTGCCGCGCGTTGCGCATCGCAAGTAATCGCAAGGGGGACGAAAAAGAAAGATTCCGATCGGAGCCAACGACGCCGTCGCTTCGTACCGATCGCCGACGATGCGCGATACTGGATATCGCGCCGACGTCCCCTAGGAGTCGACGTCGCCGAGGGAGAAGTAAATCATTCAGAACGAACCGCGAGAGCGCTAAAATGTGATCGCCCCCGACGTTGTCTACCCGTCTCGTCAACAACGCAACGTTCGACATCCGAACGCAGTTGGAGTCACCCAACGTTCAAATTCCACCGTATTTCCGCGACGCCAACTTCACATCGTTCGCCCGCAACATGAACGGGCAAGTGCAGTCATCGCGGGAGAGGTTAGGTGGGTAAACACGCCTGCTGTTTACATTCCGCCCCTAACGTCTAGCTGTCAATGGGCCGGTTCCCAGAATCCTCAGCCCCGCGGACTCAAATTCTTTTTTTTTTCTTTGCTTTCTTCGCTTCCTTTATCCCTCTCCTTTTTCGACTCGCTTGAAACGCGTATTTGGCCTGTTTGACTTGAGTTTGGATTGACATGCTGTAGCTGACAGTGCGAGGCATAGTTTGCATTGTTTCTACGTGGAGAACGATCGAAGCGGACCACCTTTGTCTTTGCAAAATTGGATAGCTTAAACGTATGATATATAGATACATGTAGATAATAATATCTATTCTCTATTACAGTCTAGTATTCTAATTTCTATTACAGTCATATGATAAAATAGATGATGAACGCTAAATAGAAACTTTTTGAAAATCTTGTTTCCGTTGGATTTCCAAGATTCGGACAAAAGTCAGCAAGCCTCGGAGTTGATTGAACCAAACGAATGGACGCTAAATAGAAACTTTTTGAAAATCTTGTTTCCGTTGGATTTCCAAGATTCGGACAAAAGTCAGCAAGCCTCGGAGTTGATTGAATCAAACGAATGGACGCTAAATAGAAACTTTTTGAAAATTTTGATTGTTTCTGTCGGATTTCGAAGATTCAGGCAAAAGTCAACAAGCCTTGGATTAAGCCAAACAGAAAATTACATGATGTAAAGGTATTATAAAAACATTAAATACAAAGTAAAATCAAATTCGCATAGAAGTGGAGACCAAAATAAAAGATCATTTACTGATCTTAAGTAAGGAAATAGTTCGGTTGTATTAATTAGAATTCTGGGGGAAAATGGACAAATCAGAATTTTCTAATTGAATCTATATTCTAGTTGAGATAATCAAAATTCTGAGTCAGGATTTTCTAGATCGTCCATTTTCAACCAGAAATTTTTTTCAGTATGGTAATTGACTGCTCATACAATATAATTCCAATTGTTAAAATTATAGTACTTTATATGAGAAATGTTTTAAGAACGTCCTTAAGACATTCGGAGAATATAAGTCTTTAGAAGATCATAGAGCAGTATTCACAGTCCATTCTTATTTTAAGACCGTCTTAAATAATGTTTTGAAGATGCTAATGTGGCTCTCTGATTGGTTCATGACATTAAGACTGCACTTAAGATGGTCTTAAATATAAGATCCGACTATGAATAGAGTCTTAGCCTTAGAGGTCTATGGGATGTCGGTCTTCTATTTTTATCTTTTTCTATTGGTTTATCCAATTTGACTGTACTGATATATACTTATATTTGATATGAAATAGCTACATAGGTATTTGAGATCGAAAGCGAGATAGAAAGTTTTAATGCAATCCAGTGCGACAACAAAGAAGCCTTGCATATTTTCCATTAGCCTGTTCTGTGTCGCTGCACTGCATTGCACTAAAACTTTCTATCTTGCTTTCGCAAACTTTAAATATGTATCTATTTCATTCCAAGTGCAACAAGTGTATATTACTAGTCCAGCCACAAAGAACAGATCTCTTTTTTGTGTGTGAAAAAACAAGGTCACTCTTTTGCCTTTTTATTCTCTTTCCAGCTTTTCTTTTGACAAAGCAGACGTGATGATTAATAACAGATGTAGTTAACTCATAACATATCTTAATATAGAAAATTATCCTCTACTTTTGAAAGCAATTCACCTTTTATCCCAGTGTTGGCTGTTATTATCGCCGTTTTAACTGTGTGTCAATTTGAATAGTGAATTGAGTACACTGTACATAAATAACCCTGACATACGTGCTGCATATATTATGAGATAAGAAGGCAAAGATGCAGCGATCCCGGCATTGTGACCTCTTAATTTATTTACTTTGTTGATTTATGTGTTATAACAGTCCTCGACAGCTGGTGCTAATCGCTCGCAATTCTACCGCTCTTTGCAGTCTTTGTAGTCCGAAATATTCAGATGTGAGAGCAACGATACAATATGGACAAAATAATCTTAATAAAATAACTAATATTAACATTGAAACGTCTCTGTAACGTGTGTAATGTGTCTGTGTGTGTGCAATGTATTAGTACGCAGTAGACTGAGTATTCAAATTGACACGCAATTAACAATACGGTGATAATAGTTACTAACATTTGGGAGACGGGTAGATTCTTCTTTCAAAAGGCAAGAACGAGTCTTATACTTTCACTTGCGATAAGAAAGGGTGAAGGAAAGTGAAAGTATGACCAGATACATATTATTCATTTTTAAATTTGAAATCATGATTTTCATCTTCTTTATATATATAATCAAGTTCCCCCTTCTGAAGGGGAAACTAAAAAGGTGAAAGCACATTGGTTGAAATTCAGTGGAGCAATAGGATTTAAAAAAATAATTAATAAATTAGAAATGACGTAAAAACATAATTTATTAATTAATAAACCGAAATACAACGGATGTAATAAAGTAGTGCAGCGAAAAACTAAAGTTTAAAAAAGTTGTTTGGTTTGTCCTATATTACTGAAAGTTTCATTAACTTTGACTTTTGACCTTTTTACTGATTTAATATTTTGCCTGGATGGAGTTAAAGTCCTTGAATATTAATTGCTAAACATTTGAAAAAGTTAAGTTGTTTTTTTGAGAAATTTTACAGACAGACGATCAGACCAACATTGTGAAATTATAAAGTAGTTTGCTATCGCTGTCCTATTTTAATAAAAATAATATAGAAAACCAGAGAGTCGGTAAAATGGCAAAAAATTTAATGTTATTAAAGAGATAAATGTGTGAATGAATATTTTTAAAGATATCGACAACTTTCAAGATAAAACTGATAAACAACTAATATCTTTGTAGGTGGTTTCGGTCCCATGAATCTTGGTTTATTTTCCGGAATGATCGCCACGGATCGTGTTCCTACTATTCAATCATTCAACTCGGATGCCGAGTTAGACGACACCATGGCCGCGACGGAAGTCGACAGCAAAGTCAAAACGAAATTGCTCTCTATGTGGAACAATGTTAAATATGGTACGTATATCGAACATTTTGCAGCCAAAATTTTATATTGAAAAAATGTTTTATATTTTGATTATTTACATTTCCACCATAAATTATAAAATATTAGATCATTATCTAATATTAAACAATTATAATAGTATATAATATTATAACTATAATATTAGATTATTTTATTTATAGCATTTGGTGAATTTGTATGTAATAATACAAATACAAAAAGTATTACGAGAAATAATTACATGTATATATCGAATTACATGTATATATTTTTTATAACAGGTTGGACTGTGAAGATGAAAACGAACTTCTCTAAGGAATCTCCCGTGTGGTTGCTGGGACAGTGTTATCTGAAGAAGTCAGAATATCCCTTGGAGAGAGCATCAGAAGCATTAGAGCCAGTTGGAACGGGTAGTCAGGTCTCCTTGGCGATGGATGCCACGAATTTCGAGAATACCATAGAGGAATTCAAGAGGGATTTCATGTCGCGTCTTTGGTTAACATACAGACGCGAATTCCCAATCCTAAACGGCTCCACCTTTACCACGGACTGCGGTTGGGGCTGCATGCTACGCAGTGGGCAAATGATGCTGGCACAAGCATTAGTCTGTCATTTTCTCGGACGAGGTAATTGTTTCTCTCTTTCAAATTTATTTTGTCGATGTTGAAAAGATTCATTGAATCTCTTAATTTCACGAGATTTTAAAACGATTGGTTTATTTTCTCTTAAAAGTACAAAATAGAAAAATTTGTTTCTGGATAAAAAACACAGAAAATCAATAAGCACAAGTTTTAAATATTCTGAATTAAAATAAAAATTACTTATACATTATTATTCTTAATACTTATAAATTTGAAATTGTAATTTTGTTTTCGCGATTTCATTTGACAAACACACAGTGAATCTTTTACAGACTTTTATTATGTTACATAAAAACTCTCTGAATGATAAATTTATTTCCTGATTTTATACAGAGTGGAGATGGCGACCAGAACAATCGACTGACGAGAGCAGTCATCGGATGATTATCAAATGGTTTGGCGATCAACCAACGCCAGAATCTCCGTTCTCCATACACAAGCTCGTGTTACTCAGCGCTTCGACGGGGAAACGCGCGGGTGACTGGTACGGTCCCTCCTCGGTTGCGCATCTCTTGTGTCAGGCTATGGAACGCGCCAGCGAGGATCCCAACAGTAAACTCAATCAGGTGGCGGTATACGTCGCCCAAGATTGCGCAGGTTGGTATCAACGAATTCAGCAAGACATAAAAGAATGATTTATTTACCGAAACTGGATAAACGCGTGACATTTCAGTCTGTGCGTATTATATCTATCAAAAGAAGTCTAAAAAATGTTTAATTATATAAATAGCAGTTTAAATTTTTAAATATCTTCTTTCTGCTAAAAAAATAATATAAAACTTTCTATGATAATATAAAACAAAATTTTTTAAATGTATACACAACAGAAGCAGCATATTAATAATTTTTTTCGTGGAGAAGAGAATTTTATTAAAAGTTTTGCAAATCTAATAGAAATTCTGTTTATTTTGTTATGTTATGCATAAAAATTAACAATCATTGAACATTTTTTCAGTATATATGCAAGACGTCGAGAATGCTTGCTGCACTCCAGACGGTAGACGGAAAGCACTGATACTCTTAGTGCCCTTAAGGCTCGGCGCCGACAAGCTAAACCCTGTTTATGCGCCTTGTTTGACATCGCTGTTGACATTGGACACATGTATTGGCGTGATCGGTGGCCGACCGCGACATTCGCTCTATTTCATCGGCTATCAAGACGACAAACTGATCCACTTGGATCCGCATTACTGTCAGGTAGCATTCAATTTTTGAGAAAGCTAATATCAATGTCTGAAATATTTAATTCGCCTTACTTAATGTTCAAATTTTTGTCACCTTAGTTTTTATTTCATGTATTTTTTTCTTTTACTTTCTTTATCCTTAAGTTAGAGAGGCATACATTTTTTTTCAATTTATTTTGTATTTTGCTCTCGAAATAGATTTTATCTTAGAATATAAAATATTTTTTTAATATAATTATTGATTTATTTCTTTACTCATTTATTCAGGAGACCGTTGACGTCGAAGGAAACGAAAAATTCCCGTTGACAAGTTTCCACTGCACGTCACCGAGAAAGATGTTACTCTCGAAGATGGACCCTAGTTGTTGCGTAGGCTTCTATTTTCCTGACAAGGAGTCACTCACCGATTTTATGGAAACAATTCAACAGGTAAATGTGAACACACTATTAATTTGAGCACGTTTGAATTCGAATTCAATTAAGATATAACAGTTTAAACAAATAAAAAGAAATCAAGTACTTCGCAACTTTTTGCATATTAGAAACAGAAAATGATTCAAACAGTATCAGATATAGGCATAACGTATAAAAAAAGGATAAAATAAAAAAAAGATTTCTATTTCGTATCGTTAAAATGTCTCGTTAATGTTGCAGTTCGTGATACCAAACCAGAATATGGACTACCCGATGTTCCTGTTTTGCGAGGGAAGCGGCAAGGATCTACAGCAAGGAATTGAGGTCGTTGAGGGTCTTCTGCCGTCTTCAAGTAGATTCGGTCACGAGAGCGTGGAGGATGATCTGTTCGAGTGCGAAGAGTTTGAGTTGCTGCACTAAAATAAAAAAAGGGAAAAAAGGAAGAACGAAAAGGACGACACGGGAGTACGATACACGCGATTCCGTGATCATCGGAATTACTCTCACGAGAACATCTCTGCGTCTCTACCTGTTCGCCCATTACTTCGCGATTGTAATTTCTTTTCATATATTCGCTTCTCCAGAGCGTATATAGGAAAACAGCGAACCGGATATATCATTCTGGAAAGGATGAGGCAACTCAAGAGTTAAGGACTGACGCATTCCCATCAATCTCAATGCGTGAATGAAAACAGGATTTGAGTTAACTTAATGACCAGTTACTGTTACTTATGAGATAAGAGATAAGAAAGCAAAAGATTATTCCCGACGTTAGTACAAGTTATTCGATTAAGCTGATTCATTCGTATTTTCAATTAATATGTATATGTATATATGTATGCAATTATTATGGTGATGCACAACATTTCTTATCTTGTTACATATAATCTCGAAATTGATGACTTTATATATTAATCATTAATAATGGCTAATATGACTTAATATTGCAACAATATTGTTACAAGGCTTTTGTTAGTCTTGAAATAATTTAATGCGCGTTAAATCCCGTTGAATTAAAACTATAATTGTATATTTTGCGAAATTCTAAATATGTTGTAAAAAATCCGCGCGAGTAAAGCGTGACAATTCTTAAAAGTCTGATTCATTTAAAGGAAAGTATGATAAGACATTAATTTATTTATTTATTTATTTATAATTGAGTGATATTCTTGAGTAACTCTTCTGCCTTGAAAAGGAATAAAGAGGGATTTGAGGAACGTGAACATGGTATATACAGGGTGAAGCATCCAATAGTGTATGTCTAAATATTTATTTAGAAAAAGTTTGATATCTGTACCTATTTATAGATACAAAAATAAAAAAATGATGTCCAAGAATATCTAAGAAAAGCGAAATTCCTGAAATCTCAAAAACTATGACCTTAAACGAGTCTTTCCTTGTTATTCCTACGAGCTAAATTACTTCGTCTTTAACGATATTTTCAAGGACAGCAGAAACATTTACAATAAAATAGAGTAGAATAAATTAGAGAATAGATTAGACTGAAGCAATCATTTCGCGCTTCAAGATTATTCGAGCGTTCTAAAAAAGCAAGATAACGCTTAATAACATACAACGTGCTTGATTGATGACAAATAAACCTAGAATATTCTCTCTAAAGTGTAAGGTAGATTTAAAAATAGAAAGACAAGAATAAAGTGAAAAAGAGGATTATTAAAGAATCATTTAGATGTACACTTTTTTTTAGATGCCTCGCACTGTATATGTATGTATGCGTGTATATGCATATGTATATGCGTATATTGTACTTATACTGTTGAATATGTACACAATATATTGAACATTGTTATATATATCTCTTACAACTGTAACGCTATACGCTCGAAATAAAATAAGAACAAGTGTGTGACGATTACGCCATCCCAGAAATGTATTCATCGATCATTCGAACGATCATTCCTACTTTGTAATTTGTACTATACTTCGGACTTTAACCAAACAGCTGTAGCAACAGCTCATCAAACAAGTACTAAGTCGCAGAAACAAGAGATAATTCGTGCTCGGTTCAGTGCCTTTTAGTTACCATGAAATCTCGTTGTATCACCTAGGCATTCCGCATCGGGAACATCTTCGAGAATCTATTATTGTCGATATCGCGCGTATTTAGAACTTAATGACATTCACGCTTGTGTACGTTCCTGCGTGCGTAAGAGAGCTCCGCGCGAATTGCGCTGTAGTACACATTTTCTCTATTGTCGCAAGATAAAGAAACAATTGTCGGACGAGATCGCGTGAGATGAGCAAATTACAGGTCTCAAATAGGTCTGAATAGACTTATTTTCGTACTTAAATAATGAATACGAGAATATTTTTAGGCGCACGTTATCTAATCTAGTGTGAGATCTATATCTATTTAATTCAATTTAATTTTTAGGCAAATAAGATATAAGAATTAGATACAGATTTAATGTCCAAAAAATCTGTTTCTTTTAGAGAGATATCTATCGAAAAAGAGAAATCTTCGAACAGATCTAGATAGACCTATTTGAAAATCAGAACCGTCCGCGCGATTATCCGACATTTGAATAGAGTTATTTAAATATTCGATCTCTTTGAAGCTCAACAGTATTGTGCCACGCAATTCCTGATCACCGGCCACATTTCGTTGGTGGTGTTGCCGTGAAATTCCCTCAGTACTCCAATCTCGCGATAAAACTGCAAGACTGGCTCGGTTTTCGTCGCGTAGTCCTGCAGTCTTTTCTGCACGATTTCTGGTTTGTCATCTTCTCTCTGACATAACGACTCACCCGTTACGTCGTCCTTGCCCTGCAAAACACGACAAAATTATTAATATTAAATTATTAAAATTCTTATTATAAATTACAAAATATTAAATTATTATTATTACATAAATAACTGTAATTAACGTCATATATTCGACTATCATTATAAGCGAAATAGATATAGTATTTTTTAAATAATTAGGTATATTAGATCAAAATATTTTATAACAAGCTTTATCGTATTACAGCCTTGGCCGAAAGTATAAAGCATCTCCACAAATTGAACGTAAATGTTCTGTAACGAAAAATAAATTTATAAAGTTTTATTGAAAAATATTTGTTCTTATAATAATTTTAATATTTTGTTAATTTTTCTTTGGATTTTATTACAGTTTTTTCCAGGAAAGTGTCATAAATTGAGAGTGCTTTATACTTATGACCAAAAAATCAATTGATTATAGTGTGAACTCAGTTATACTCTCGGCTTGTTTCAGCTCTCTTTTTCAATGAAATATACACTCGTTGATTACCGGCACTCGTGGATCGTTGAAGCCGATATTGTAGACCCTACCACTGGGCAGATGAATCCATCTGCTCTTGACTCGGTCCAGAATGACGGTGGTGGGCACCACGAGATTTAGCACGAGATTGATTGGATGTAGCCTCTGCAATCGTTCTGCCTGCGTCAACGTCCTCGGGAATCCTGCCAAGATATTCGTTCGCGTTTAGATGGCAGGTTCACGGCTTTAAGAGAACGACCTCGGCCTCGTGACGAGGTCAGAATCATTTCCCTTCCACTCACCGTCTAATAGCCAATTCCGATCCGCCATCGATCCAATCTCGTCGTCGATAAGGGATATCATCGTGTCGTCTGGGACGAAGCTACCGCTGTCCATGTATTTTTTTACCTCCTTGCCTAGATCTGCGAATGAGACATTTTCTAGTAAACATTAACTAATAATAATTGTAGCATCAATGTTATAATTTCACATTCAATAATGTAACTGTTGTGTACAACATGTGTAATATTATATTTATATTGTTGAATGTAAATTATATATTGATGTTGTGTTGCTGTTAGTGTTTTTAGGGCGCTTCAACAACGGAAATAGTACTTTCTTTTATTGAATTATATTGTATAATAATCGCGATAATTTTGTTGTATTGAAAGTATTGCGTTTGAGTATTTTTAAAATTAACGAACCGATAAACTACAATCTTTCAAATATTATTCAAGAATTACAATATTATGTAATTCTAAGATTTGTATATTTAAAACTGTAATCATACTAGTGCGACTAGCGATTGATGATTACTTTTCAACCAATCAGAGTAAAGCAATCACCAATTGTTTTGCTCTAATTTGTTGAAAAGTATATTATTTTAAATGGATTACAATCTATTAACATTAATAAAACGGGAAAAATGTAATCAAAGACGGACAGGAAAAACTCTATCGAAATTAATCATTCAAACGCGTTATCGCAGTTTACACAGAAGATTGATTGTGTGTGATTGATTAAGATTGATAGATGTAGAATATTGACGGAATTAAAATTCTTTCGATAATGCGATGCTATTGAAGATAAGATTAAACGCGAGTAAATAATGTATCTTATCGGAATGAATAAAAATTCTGACATGTTTTCAAAATTAGCTATAATTGACATTCGCTAATCGAATGATATCTTTTGAATTATATAACGATGCGAGAGTGAAAATAACAACAAAGTTTCATATTTACGAAATCGATTAACGAACACGTCATATTGAAATTAACGATAATTGACAATAGAAACTAGGTTAACGATAAAATCTCAATGCAAAATAAAAAAAATGAAATTTCCCAATTGGAACAATAAATCACGATGAATGAATCATAAACGATTGAAAAATTACTTAACGATCATTTTAACGATCATGATGACTTTGTTCCGCTTGGAAAATTTTACACAAATTCACTGTCTTATCTTATCACATGTACCAATAATAGAACGAAAAGTAATGAACTATTGAAAGCTTTACAATGTAAAGTTTCTACAATGTATGAACATGTAAAGTTTACATCATATATAAATATTTGAAAGGACATTCAGGGCAAAGGCCACCGCTGATAACGAGGACGACGACGACGTACCAGTGTCGGCAGACACGTGGAAGCGCAGCCTGTCGCCGCTGGAGATGTGCGCGACGCCGAACTGCTGGACGATTCTGGAGGAGACGGTACCCTTGCCGGAGGCCGGCGCGCCCAGTATGACGGCCCTGAGGGCCGTCGCGGCGGCGGCGTAACACGTGGTGATCGCCACCATGGGACTCCGCGGTCTACGGGACTGGCGACTTCCTGCGATCGGCAGCGATCGTCCGAGTGCCGTGGCGGTCTCGCATTATCCGCGTCGGACCGACTCTACCCTCGATCCCTACTATATTGCCTCCGCGCGGACTCCAATACAGCAAAGGCCACGGCACTCCGGCGAAGCGCCGTGACGCACTGTGACGTAACCGCGACGCGCCGTTTCGTAACGTTCCGTCACGTCGCGCAGACTCGAGCCCTGCAGACCAGGACGACGGATCACGATATAACGTCAGAGACGTCGGAATGACGTCGAAATGAATCGTGACTGACTGAAAATTAAGTGACGTAATAATCATTTTGTAGCCATTTTGACGTCATCGTGATGTTTCGTTCTGCTTGAGAGGATGATGACGGGAACGCGGAGAAATTGAACGACCCGCGTGCTTCTCCTCCCCGTCAGTGATGTGAAATGAACGAATGACGTGCCTACATGCCGCCATGTTGCCGCGGTTATTTAAATTATAGACGTTATTATTTTACTTATTTTTTGTTTTTAATTATATTTGCTTGGAATATATATACATATGTAATATACTGAATTTGGTTTTATCTTTTGTCATAATAAAAATTATTTTCTACAGACTTTTTCTCATTTTAATATTTACGTTTTCTCTTTAGATCAGTAATTTGAATGCGTTGTTACGTTGGCGACACTGTCGGCAGCAAGTTGACTATTCCTCGCGAAAACCGTAGCTCTTTATGAGAGATTTCTTTTCGCATTAACTGCGAAAACTCGGGAGAGCGAATTATGGATCTTAATCAGAATGAGGTATAACATATTTTATATTTGTATTTAATTCGATCCTTGTTAAAATTTTTGTGTAGTTTTTAATATCCCAATGATAATTTAACATAATATGTTGGTCTTATTTAAATATTTTGTGTTAAATTGATATTCAATATTTTTTTAATATTAAAATAACACAATTTATGAGTAAGTAAACAATAACATCCCATACAGTACCGAAAGTTTTCAGAAATATCTCAAAAATATTTCAACTGAAAAATGAAACATTTCATAAAAATTGCGAAATATGTCTGCAACATTTCTGAGACAGTTCTGAAATAGCAAAATGTCCGCGATTCTCGCACATGAAACCTTGTTGAAAGATTGATGAAATGTTACAGAAAGAATCTGCAATCTTTTTGAAATATTACTAAAAAGTTTTCAGCTATTTTTAGTACTTCAAAAATGATATTTAAATACATACTTGATTGGTATTTGAATAATATTTAAATTTACTATGTCGACGTAATAAATTTAAATATTATTTAAATATCATTTCTGAAGTACTTAAAATTTATTAAGAGTTTTGTAATCTGTTTACAGATTACAAACTTACTGAAATAAACTTAAAGTATTTTTCAAAAATGGTAATTTATGCCAACTATTTTGATTAATTAATCACATTATATGTATAAGCGCATATATTGTACATAATCACTATTAGAAAAATAGAAAGTCACTTACACCTGCAGTTTCCGCACAATATACAAAAGTTTTTCGAAATTAAAGTAAAACAACTCACGATAACATCAAAATGACATTAAACTGAATCATGATTGATCAAAAAATGACTTTTAGTAAACATTTTGGAGCCATTTTAACATCATGATGATTTTTTGTTCTGTTTAAATATGATTTTTAATTTATTGTTTATGATAGATTTTAGAAACATTTCTGTTAAAACATTTCATATGACATATTGCAGAATACTTTCAGAATTGTTGAGATGTGAAAGGTTCAAACATTTCTGAAAATTTTCCGCAACAATCGGTGCTATATGGGATATGACATAAAAATACTGTATTTTATGACTTAAATTTTAAAATAAATGAATAAAATTAGTTAAAGTTAATTTAATATATTATTAATTAGGATCAGTTTCCATCGACCATCGTGTCGGAAATTGATTCTTACGAGGAAATTATCCGCAACATCAACGAAGCCCACATGGAGGTGAAAATCAGGCTCGAACAAGTGTCGAGGCTGCGAAGTGAGTGCCTTTCGAAAATCTTTAAAAATTCTATTCGGAAAGGTATAATTAAGAATATCGATGTTAGAAATAAACGGTCGGACTTGTTGCAGTTGATTGCGCGAAGCTACAGCTGGAGTTTCTGAAGCTCTTCAAGCCGCAATGTTTAGAGATACTGGAAGAGTTGCAGGACATTTCTGCACCCGCGGATTCCATCGATTGCAATGACGGCGACAATATCGAATCGTGTGACAACCAGGTATGCGGTAAAGAATATTGTGTTTTTGTATTAAACCGGTTCTTGTTAAAATTTTTGTGTTAAATTGATATTCAATATTTTTTTCAGTATATAAAATAACATAATTTATAAGAAAGTAAATAAACAAATAACAAAAATAATGTATTTTTTTTTGTAAAACTTAAATTCTAAGTAAAATGAATAAAATGTGATAATTTAATTTAATATATTATAAATATATAATATATAATTTAATTTGTTAATTTTACTGAAGAAACATGTTTCCACAATTTGCTTACAAATTGTGCCAGTGTTGTATTTTTTGTGTTAATTTTTTGCATAATATTTGTGTTACTTCCTAATACTCATCTCAAGTTAAATTAACACAAAAATTTGAATGGACCGATGATTGAGATATGTTATATTTAACACAAATTTTCTGACTGTGTGTATATACAGTTTTGGCCAAAATTAGAACTTATATTTTTTACATTCATCTAGATTTCTTTTACCTTCATTGTTATCTGTTGATTACCGGCATTATACATAAATTTATAAAAAAAACTGTTGAAACGAAGGACAATTTATAGCAAATATCATAAATCAATTTTTAAGCTCAAATTTTAAATAAATTAATAAGATGCCAAATATTTTTAGTCAAAACTGTATATTGCAAAATTATAATAAGGTACATGTTGAAGCATTGAGCCGCAAAACGGACGCATTTATGTTGAAATGTATTTATTATATTTCGAATATACTGACACATCGACTGACACATCGATATGCATATCGATATCCGTATAACGCCGTGTAACATAAACATTTGATATAGTAGACAGTAATAATAGATATAGATTTACGAAGATAGACTCTCTTTGGAAGCCGCGTCAAGTATCCTTTCTTTTCTCTCTATCTTTATATTCTTCTTTCTCTTGTCACGTCTCCCGGCGTTGAAAAACGCGTTGAATTGCCGATTCCGCGTGTAACTACTGTCTGCGAGAAATTAAACGCGAATATAATCGCGCTAATCCTGATTGGCCCGAGCACGGAGAATTAATGCGATAGAGGGAGACACATGCGCTTGTTATAATACTTTTTTTTTCTTTTTGGGATACTTAACACAATAGTTTACACATATATTTTTTTTTACATCATCGGATCCCGTCCTTTCGACTTTCATTTGCGAGGCGTTCGTCCAAACTCTCGTTCGATGAAATTTTGCGATCCTTTTCGGTGGCGAACGTTCGCGAAGTTCGATTTTCATTACTATATGATCAGTCGTCGTGCGAATAAAATCTCTGTCAGGGATATTATTATTATTGTCTCTATAACTCGTTAATCGTTGTTCAGTTCAATATAGGAGGAGAGAAAGAGTGGACGTGTTTTTAGAAAGCCGTCCAGACGAATCTCAAGCAGAACGATAAGTCACGATAATGTCAAAATAATATTAAAATGAATCGTAGATGATTGAAAAATGACTTTTAATGATCATTTTGGAGTTATTTTGACATCATTTTGATGTCATGATGACTTATTGTTCTGCTTGGGATAGCACACCTCGCAAATAGATAAAACATCTTATTCCCTTAATTATTAGATATATCTCTCTCCTTTTAATCCTTCATAAGCTTATTTTTTTTTAACAAATAAAACGCATCAATTCACTATAATTAGACATCTTCTTTTTCTTATAATTTTTTATAATAATTTTTTAATTCAGGATTTTGAAATCTCGCTCTGACGAGAAATTTATACGCGTCGTATGCAAAAATGCTGTTTCACATATCGAGTACCATCGTATTTTCGAGATCTCGAATCGAAAAGAAACGGATAACCGAAAACTCCACACTCAGACAAAAGCATAATGATGGCAACTATAAAGGTGACAATTGCACAAATAAGTTAAATAAGTAGAATTAGTGTGTATAGTTGAATATACTAATGTACATAATTAAATAAACTATTAATAGTTGCAATAATTACGAAATAGTTTAATTATTAATGTGTATATTAATTGTATACATAAAATTTATATCTGTCATTTTTATAGTTGCTACTACTATTATGTCTTTTTGTCTGAGTGCACATTTGCAAAATTACTGTTATTTTTTGCGTATAACTTTTTTCCAGCATTTTGAAAAAATTAATACGAGATATTATAATCTCTGTCGATCATTCTGATCCATTTTAATTCGATTCGAGAATGACTCTTCGTGCACCGCTTAATCCTCAACTGATACCATACACACAGCATTTTCATGATTAAAACTACGAATGCACCGTAAAATTATCGGATACCAGGTATAGGACATTCGAAAAGAATGTGACATCAGATATCCGTAATTATCCAACCAGATAACCGGATATTTTTCCGGATATCTGATACAAATTCCTCAAAATTCTAAAAAAAAAAAAGAGGGAAACAAGAGAAAAATAGCGACAATAATTTTCTTTATCTTCCCAACGTGAAAAGAAAAAGAAGAAAGATGAACTGTGTAAGAAGTTTAGCTGAAAAAAATAGAATTCTACATCAATTCACAATTCATCTTTCCTCTTTTTTTTTCATGTTGGCAAGATAAAGAAAATTGTCGTCACTTAATTATTTTTCCCTTGCTTTCCTTTCTTTTTAGAATTTTTAGGAATTTGTACCGGATATTCGACCAGTTATAGGACATCCGGTGTTACATTCTTTTCGGATATCAGTAATTTTACGATCCTGTGCATATTTGTCTCGAAAATCTGTGCCGTATGGATTGTATGGTACCTTGTGAAGATTAATCTTGATTCATGCTTCATTACGACGGAAGATTCTTTAACCCTTTGTGGACCGGCGATCCTATTTGAAGTCACCTCTTTTTATTTTATAAACTGCTTGTTCTCGATCCTTATGAAGCTTGGCTTATGAAGCTATGAAATAATTTGATAATGCTTTATTCGAATTTGAGGTCAAAAATAAAAAATAACTAAATGGTGGATTTAATGTAACGGAATTTAAAAAAAATAATTTGACCGTCATAAAACTCTTAGGAAGTTTTTAATTGCGAAGTGTAACATCAAGTTTCTAATTTTGCTTTATTCGAAGCTCATCAGTGCTACACAAACAGTACTGATTTCTAAACTGATTTTCAAACTTTAATTATGAACCTTGTGACACTAAATCTTCATTTATGGAGACTAAAACCCTTTTTCGATATTTTCAGGCTAAAACCGAATTTCACGATAATCAGACTAGCTTTTGGAATTTGAAATTTAGAATTCTGAGGCTAGAATCGAATTCAATGACTCCAAAAACCCTCGGAAAACAAAATCTTCCATAAGTTATTTTATCAGAAAGCCGGTCCTCAAAGGGCAAGGTTAATAATAGTAAACCGCCGATTATCCGGACAAAACTTCTACATAGAAAAGAAACGTAGGCCAAAAATGATTGAACAAAGTAACAAATGTAAGCAACAACAACAGAGTTTCGACATAAGTTAAAAATCTCTGTTCACATTCAATCGGATCGTCAGAGGGACTCGGTACTCAGGCGATACCCGGTTAATCCGGATAACTGGCGGTCCACTGTATCGCGCGGCCGAATCGGGGTGGCTTCCTCTCGTTCGCCTGATCCTTATCGTTCGTACATAGTTTGCTGCAACGCATCGAGGGCGCCTTCATTGTGGGAGCGATGCCCGGTGCCCTCGTACGCCGGCGACGTGCGGAAGTATCGGTGCTCGTATCGTGCGTGATATCGCCGCAAACACGAGTCGCGGGCGTTCCGCGCGCGACACTGTGCGGTTGCCGCTCCGGGCGGATGTAGCTGCGACAGCAGCAACGCGGTATTTGCGCACGACTGCCTCTCGCCCTCGTGCACCGCCATCATCCGCGGCTGCTCGTCTCTGGACTCCAACGCGTCGCACACCTTGCCGGCCTCCAGAGCGTAGTTGGCGAGGCAGGGTAACAACCCCTCCTCGTCCTGCGTCTGGTAAAAAATCAGTTTGCTGTAGCCTTTCCGTAGAACAGGGAATTAGAGTGGAATGTTCTTTAAATCTTGGACCTATCTTAATAGAGTTCCCTGGTGAACATTTTTCTTAGTGTTTTGTATAATTTTTTAGAATTTCTATGCACGCTTTAGAATTTTTCAGAATTTTTGTATAACACATTTCCAATTTCTGAATTATCGAAAATATCTGTAACATAAAAATGAGGGTCTGTGTAACATACGCAAGCCTTGCAGATCTGCAGTTTCACACAGGGCACGTAGAGCATCCGAGATGTGTCACCGGCTAAGTTATCTACGGCTCGGCATCGCCACTCGATGGCTTCTAATTCCGGGCAACTTCTGGATTCCTCGATAGCTATATAATTCAAACAATTATATTATACAATAAATTATACATAAATTATGTATAATCTGTATTTTATATATATATATATATATTTAACTCGATTTATTAGGTTTGTATAGATTATCCCAGATTTATTGGGCTATTTCTCTGGTTTGCAAATTCTTTGGGATCAGTCTTTTCCTGACAAAAGTAAGAAACCGATAATATTTTATTTAAAAATTAAATAAAAGTTAATTTTAAAAACAATAAAATGTTACTTTTTATTTAACTTCAAGCAGATTTTGCTTTGATAAGTTTATATTGTTTATTAAACAAAGCTATAGAATCTCCAATAAAATCAATAATCTTCAATAGAATCTCCAAATAAAATCACAGGATTATAGAAAACTTAAAAATTATATAGAAGAAATCATGCATTCGAATAAATTATAAAGCTAAATTAGGAAAACTGATTTAGAAAACTAATTAATAAAAAATGTACACGTTTTTATTAAGAAATTCAATAAATGCTGACTCGCGAATTTTGGAGAATCTGGAATACTCTGCACATAATTTTTGTAATTTTTTCCATGATTCCTAACTCTTTTCTGAATATACTCACATTCGCTTTCCTCTAAATTGTTGTTGATATTGTTTCGCTTCTCGTTGGTTTTACTGTCAGTGCCGCCGTTAGAACTTGGATTAGTGTTG